TGCAGAAATTTGCTCCATTTGGTAAAGACACATGCTTTGCGCATATCCTGCCCAGGCTTTGATGGTTCCCTGGTGCAAATGTGTATCAACACTTCCCCTGGACACAATCCCTGCCCCTAAAATCTCACAAGTCTCCTTTGTACTAGTCCTTGTATTTAATATGTATTTATGGATTTTTTTCTGTGGATTTGTGTGGTCTTGTTCCTAAACCACACAGCATCTGCAGCAGCCCCTGGCAGGGAGGGCTACTGTGTGCTGAGTCTCCTCCTTGTGTTATCACTGTTATTTCAGCCTCTCCCACCTCCCCCAGCTGTGCAGATCTCTGCTCTGTGATCCCAGCTGTCTCTTCTCTGTGCCAAAGAGCCCTGGTCCTTCAGGAACCCCATGTGCAGAGCCCTTGGATCCTCCTGTTGCCCTTCTGTGCACATTTTCCAGCTCTGCTGTATCCTTGGAATAGGGGGACCAGAAATGCATGTAGACTGGGATTGGCTAGGGAATAGCGATATCTCTGATTTCATCTCTCCTTTTTCCTGACCCTTCCTATCAGCTTGACAGAGAGTCTTTGAGGTTTTAACTTCTGCTGAGGGGACAGTTTCACAGACTGTCAGAGCTCCCAATCTCAGAACCCATCACTTTGGACAAGAGCCTGGGCTTGGTTTCCCCATTTGTGTCCCTTCCCTAACACTGGCTTTTGTCTCATTTTATTGCCAACTTCCTAAACCTCTCAAAGTCCTCCTGCAATGCTTAGCATCCATCCACAATTTCCAGAATAATTCAATATTATTGCAGATTTTGCCGTTGACCTCATCTTGTCAAAAGATCTGCGTGTGGAAATGCAGGGACTTCTGCTGGATCACCTCAGGGGCCTGCTGGCTTTTTCCAAGAAAGCACCAGCTATGAAAAAGAGAAATTCACTGCAAGAGAGCTGTATCGACTCTTCCCCAATATGTCATATTTATCCATCTGTTCCCTAACGATGCCAGTTTCCTCCTCCGTATGCCAATTTTTGTTCATTTGCAGAGAACAGATGTGTCATTTATCAGCCTGGGACTCCCTGGCTGCCTCCCAGGAAGCAATTCTGGTGTCACAGTTGCCACCTTCCAGTCCTCACGTCCCCTGCTGTACCCAGACCCTGGAGTTGGTTCGGCTGTCACCCAGCAGATGTGACATCCTCTTGGACCCTGCTGTGCTGCACAATGGGGTGGATGTGGCTTGCTCCCGGAGAGGAAAGGAGCAGGCACACAGGCACTCCAAAACTCCTGCAAATGCTTTTGTTTGAAGCTGTGGAAGAAGCACCTGGAGATTCAAGGAGCTGCAGGCTTCCCTGCAAGCCAGGGTCGATGCTGGCATCCGGGGAAGGAGTCGGCCCAGCACCTGACTCAAGTGACACGTGGGGAAGTGTCAGGTTCAGCCCCACATAGCCGGGGGTGAGTCAGCCGGGAGTGTGCAGGGGCACAGACCTTCTGCTCTGAGTCACCGGAAGCTGCTGCCGGGGGACGCTGGGCTGTGTCCGCACCACCCAAGGCTAAACCGGAGGGGAAGCTTTGCCGTGAAGATGTGGCACGATCCCTCCTCAGCCCAGAGAAGGTGCTGTGTGCTGTTCTTAGCCCAGCTGCCAAACAGGGCTCCTGTTCCCAGCTGGGGGTGAGCACCACGAGCACTTCAGGCAGCCGAAGCAGCTCCTCAGGCCCCGGAGGATGGATGAGGGCTGAGGATGCACACAGCTCTCTGCTGGGCTGGCAGCAGCCCGGAAGACATTACCTGGATTTTTCTTCCTGGTGCGTGCTCTGACCTGTCTGAATTCACCCAGCCAAACAGCTCCTTTGGTAAGAGGAAGGGCAATGCTGTGAGCACCAGCCTGGAGATCTCAGCAAAGAGCTCCTGGACCCTTCAGAGGTGGAGAAGAGGGTGGGAGCAGAGATTTCAGTGCAGAGGACCAGCCCTGCATCCTTGCACACACCTGCAGAAAGCCCTTCTGCCTCCCCTGTTCCCATGGTCCCTCAGAGTGAACCACAAATCACTTCTGCACAGCCATGGGTTGTTATGTTCCTATCTGAGGACTGTGTGCAAATGGCTCCATAGCCATCCTTCCCTCCTTCCCTCCTTCCTGGGGGCTCCAAGGGCTGTGGGCACTGCCAGCAGCAGGCAGCCCCCAGGGCTGCACATCCTACCTGGGGATGCATGAGCGAGAAGCTAAAATGTGGAGTCTGGCACGCGAGTGGTGCAGCCTGTGCTCCCTCATCCTCTCCCGTCTGCCAGTCCCACCCTGTGTCCCCTGCCAGCCCCTACACCCACAACCCCCCATGGCAGCCATCTGTCACAGTGAGCCGTGGTGACTCGCAGGCACAGTGGCATCACAGCCACTGCTGTGGTGTGGGGTCAGTCTCTACAGTGCAGCCATCAAACCTGCAGTCCCAACAGGAGTAAGGTGTGGAGAGTGTAAACAAGTTGGGATTGGAGCAGCACCAGCTGGAGCATGAGCAGCAGACAGATTCTGGCTTTGGCGGTGGGAATGTAGAAATCTGCCACTGCTCCTCCAAACCTGAAGTGAACCACTGTGAACAGAGCAATGTCACCAGGCTCTCGTTATGACTGCAGAACAGAATATGAGCAGCCTGTACCAAGCCATGCAGGTGGTGAGGTCATTTGGTCTCCTTCTGGAGGCCCCTTAAAGCTCCCCAAGCACAAAGCAGTGTCCCAGGAGGCTCTCACCTCCGCTGTGCTCTCTTCACCTGCTGCCTGGGTGGTTGGGCCAAGGGGAAGCCAATACCCAGGGGAAGCTCTAATCTGAGGACTCAGGTGAGTCCAGAGACTTTGATACCCCTCCAAGCTCTGCTGAAGCCTGAGGTGAGAAGGTGATGCCTCAGGGGCACGGATCAGAGAACAGGGCTACACTGGGCCAGTGTGGAAGAGAAACAGGCCCAACAAATGGTGAGGAGGTGCTGGGGTCCCACATGGGCATGGACCACAGACCTTTGTCAAATCCCAGCATGGCCCCGGCACAGCTGCCTCTCCAAGGAGAGAGCGATGTGGGAGATGTGCCAGGACTGGATGAGAAGGAAGAACCTTTGCAATTCATCTGACATGGTAGTGTTTAAAAAAACACAAACACCACCACAAAGCTAGATCCCTCCTCGGTGCCCTCTCTGGAGACACTGAGCGTGTGTTTTCCAGGCCTGAGTATTTAACAAGAGCCATCTCCTACAGCTGCTGCTGAACATCCTCCTTGGTTACTAATAGAGGGTGGAAGTGCTTTCAATCTCAAGTGCCATTAGCCCTGCTTCCTTCCAAATGCTGGACAGGCAAATTTATTGAGAATCTCTGTCTTTTCTGCATTTTAATAAGTCTCTTCATCTCCATCTGAGAGCCCGGGAGCGAGGTCTGCTGCTAGACTGCAAACACAGCCTGGTGATCACTTTGTTCTTCACAGATGCTTTTTCTCCTGATGCCTTTTGCATCTTGCAATCCCCATGCTTTGAAATTTCCAGTGCTGTTTTCTGGGTTTCATGGCTGTCTTCTCCCTTTGGAGGAAGCTCCCTTGATGTCCAGCTGGACCTGGCAAATTTGGATGGGTTTCTCAAGCAGGAGTGTGCCCAAGGAAGCAGAAAATCTGGGACTCAGCGGGCTCCCTGGGCACATGCTGGGCATGTACTGTGTCAGGCTGGCACAGGAAGCTCAGTTCCTTGGCAGCCACATCCTCACTCTCCCTCCTGCACAGGGCTGGTAGGAAGGAGGTCACCATGAGAAACTTCTCTCCCCAGCTAGGCACCCTGACAGCAAGATCCCAGCATCTGTCCCCACACTGTGCAGGACCACGGCTCATGGTGTGAGGACATGCAGGGACACACTGTGGCATCTGTCCCTGCTCACTGGATGCCTCTGCAAGCTTCACAGCTTGCAGTGGGACCTCTGTGGGGGTCTTGCTCTTGGAGCATCCTGTGTCTGGCCTTTTCTTTCTTCATGGTCTTCAGGGGATTCAGCCCGTGAGCCTGGAAGCAGGTTTGGGTGATGGTGTGTATCTAGGAAGGGATGTGGAGGGTTTGGGGGCATAGGTCTGGAGACAGGGCTGCTGGGGCATTGGAGAGCACGGGGAGATGGTCTCGGTGGTGGGTGAGAAAAGAAGGCTGCCGGCTGGTGATGGCTGTGTGTCCAGGGGGAGCAGTCACAATGTGTGTTAGCATGTTTCTTGTTGCTGCAACAGCCTCGGGCTCTGCTGCCATGCCCCAAGACTGCTCCCAGTGCCACTTTCCGCTGCATCCCAGGGGATGTCCTCCAGCCCCTGTGCTGGGGATCAGCCCTGCATGCTCACTCCAATGTCTTTGCACATCCAGCTTGAGCTCAGCGTTCTTCCCAAGCACTTCCCTGCCTTGTCCCTGCTCATCCCTTCCCGCAGTGTTTCTTGTGGCGGTCCACAGTGCCAGCCTCACGTTTCAGTGTCTCCCTGGAGCGAACTGCTCCGGGGGTCCCGCACGGGGCTGCTCCCACCAAACACATCCCCGGCAGCGGGTTTGCACCGAGCACATGGACTGGATGACCCTCGTGGGCTCCTTCCAGCTCGGGACGCTCCGTGACCCCACGAGGGACCCTTTACCGCCCTGCCTCGCCCGCTGCCTCCCCGGCGGCCTTTCCCCTGGTGCCGAAGGACACTCCGGGGTGGCTGGGGCAGCGCCGGGGCCGGATCGGGCCCGAGCGCGAGGGGCGGCCCGGAGCGCCGAGGAGGGCCGGGCGCGGCGGAAGGCGGCGGGGAGCGTGGCCCGCTGGCTCCGCGAACACCTGGGCTTCCGCAGCGCCCGGCCCGCGCCACCCGCGCCGCCCAAGCCCGACTACCGCGCTGGGCCGCCGCCTCAGCCGCCCCTGCCGCCCGGGGGCGCGGCCGAGCCCCTGGCCGCCGCCCAGCCCGACATCGTGGCGGCCTACCGGCTGCAGAAGGAGCGCGACTTCGAGGACCCCTACAGCGGCCCGCCGCCCGCCGCCGCCCCCGACGGGCCCCGCTACGTCTCGCCCAAGCACCGGCTCATCAAGGTGGAGGCGGTGGAAAAGGTGCCCGCCAGCCCCTCGCCGCCGCCGCCGGTGCCGGCTCCCCCCAGCTCGCCCCCGGCCGGTCCCGAACCGCCCGACGAGCCGCCGCAGGAGGTGAGTGACCGGGCACGGGGCCGCGGTGCTCTCCCCGCGGTATCCCGCCACTTGCGCTATCCCGAGTGACCGCGCCGGAGGCTCGGCCCCTGCCGGGAGAAGCAGGACCAGGACCCTAGGGGCAGGTGGAGCCTGAGCCCCCCGGTCACGGAGATGGCCTCGGTGGTCCCGCCAGACTGTTGGCATCCGCAATTAGGAGCGGGGTTAGATCCTCGAGCGCCGAGGGGGGGCACGGCCAGGCTCCACGGGGCTCCCGTGTCGCCTTCCCGCTGTGCCCCGGCAGCACCGGCATGCCGGGCACACGTCAGCGGGAACGGGGGCGGCCCCGGCATCTCCTGCGGCTCCCGCGGGAGGCAGGTATGATCCCCAGCGGGAAGCGCGCTCGCAGAGGAGCACAGCACTGTCTGCGGTGCCCTCTGACGCTGGGGCCCGTGACCCTGGGCCTCCCAGCGCTCCGTGCCTGGTGGATCTCCCTCTGCCCGCTTGCCCGGGCTGCCCGTGCCAGCGGCGGCGGCCGGACCCCCAGAGATGCCGCGCTGCTTTGTCAGGGAGCCTCAGCGCCTCTTTGTCTGCCGCCACCCCCCGCCGGCTTCTCCAGGGTTGAGAGCAGAACCTGGAGCTCTGGTGCTGGCAAGGAGGCGAGAAACATCCCCGGTGAGAGGTAGGAGCTGGGCAGACTCCCCATGGGGAGACGGGCTCAGAGTGCACCGGGAGCTGGTGGAGGATGAGCCCAAGCGGGGCTGCGGCCGTTGGTGCCGGGCCTCCCTTTGGAGGAGAGGCTGATGCGGGGACTGCGCAAATAAAGGCAGGAGCGGGTAATTAGTGCCCGCTGGCGCTGCCGCCTGCAAGACGGGGCTTGTCAGGCGAACTCGACGGGATTGCAGATCTGGCTGGCGGAGGGAATCGCGGATACAGTCAGTGATGCCATCCGTGGTCCTGGCACTGCCGGGCGGCACAATGAAATGAGCACCGGGAAAAATCTGCTAGAGAATGTTTTAAGCAGATAGAAAAACTTGTTGCTGGTGGATCTTGGGAAGTTGCCTGTACTGACTAATTGCTTTTAGGAGATTTCTCGAGTGGCCCAGCAGAGCTCCCCCTTTGAGCTGGGTAAACTGGCTGCTGCAGGCAGCAGAGGGGGATGAGGAAGGTGGCACTGGTAGTAGGGACCAGAGGAGCCACCGTGGTGCTGTGGTTTGCTGAGGCAGTCTGGATGGTTTTTCCTCTGGAATATGTGTGCAGGATCAGAGCAGGAGCATGTGGACTCGGGCTGTGATGTGCAAAGGGCTGACACAGAGCTGTGGGAAGCAGGGACTGCTGACAGATACAGCCAGGCTGTTTGGAGATCCAGAGGCTGGGGAGAATCTGAGAAGTTTGGAGAAAAGTCAGAAGCTGGGATACATCTGGGGAAACTGTGCTCAAACCGCGCTAGGCTGAAGACCCTTCATTGTTCCAAGATAGGCAGTGATTAGATTACTGATGGTCTCGCATGCCACTGTAGGGAGGAGACTTCTAATTCTTTAGGGCTCTGGTATGTGATGGACACAGAGCTCCAGAGCCTGGGCAAAACCGGAGTAAAAGTGGAAATATTTGATAGTGCTTGCAGCTGTCCATTAATACAGTTTTCCTGGAGAAGCCAGGGAATGTCCACCATGTAGAGCAACTGTGTTGGGCTAAAAAGCCCTTTGCAGCTCTCATCTACTGGGCTGAGCAGTGGGAGGGTTCCCCAACTGCTCCAACATCATGGTGGCTCTTTCTGAAGGTGGTACAGAAGGTGGTACAGCTTGACATCTTGGTGATGTCAAGCTGTCCAGGAACAGGGCAGGGATACTGGAGCTGGGACCTGAGATGATGGTTGTGCAGGGGGCTCAGTGCTTGCAGACTTAGGAAGAGGCACTGTTCCCTACGTGCTGCAGGGACGAGAATACAGACCTCTTGGGTTGTGGTGATGCTGGAGGTTAAAGGAGAAGCTGGAGCCTCTGCTGAGATGATGGTTGTAGAGGGGCTCAGTGCTTGCAGACTCAGGAAGAGGCACTGTTCCCTACGTGCTGCAGGGACGAGAATACAGACCTCTTGGGTTGTGGTGATGCTGGAGGTTAAAGGAGAAGTACAATTCCGTGTACAGACAAAGCTGCTGGAGCAGAGAGGGTTTTTGTTAATGATAGGTGGGGAAAATCACTCTAATAAAATATGCAGCCCTTCCAAGTGGGGACGATTAGGATGGAGACGAGTGGAAAGAGCAGTCACTCGTTCCTGATTGTGTGGTGTGGCTGAGACCATGTGGTTTGTTGTGGCTGGGGGCTGACTGTGCTCCCTGGGCACCCTGTGCCTGCTGTAGCTGTCGTGCTTCTTCTGGAGAATGGAAAGGGCAGGAACATCTTGGTGCAGGAATCCTTCCTGCCTATGCTGCACGATGCTTTGCTGCTGTAGCATGAGCTGTCACATCTTTGCACCTTCTTGGAATCTGCAGCATCCTGTGGGGATGCATTAGAGCGAGCTCTGCAGTGGCTGGTGCTGCTTTCCAAACTCTGCTGGAAATGGTGTGGACAGCAATGTCCTCCTCAGTCTGCTTGGTGTGCCAGGCCTTCCCCCCCCCCCACAGTGGTGGACAATGGGCTGGCCCTGTGCCGTTCACCTGAGCCAGGTGGATATTCTGGAGGTGTCTTCCCTGCTGTGTTTGGATTAGGCACCAGAAGCAACGCCACTGGAATGCAGTGGGGAGAGATGCGCTGAGGGACCTGCTGCTGCCTGCACCCAGGACAAGCTTGAGGGTGGGCTTGGGGATGTGCCTGAGGACATCTTTGTCCTGTGCCCACCGGGAGCAGTCGCTGCTGCTCTTGCCGGGAGTGCAGGGTCAGTGCCGCAGGGTGTGGGAACAGCCGGTCAGGAAGCTCTTGGGTGTGTGTCTTTCCTGCGAGAGCCTCCTCCATCTGAGTCATCTTACGCGCTGCCGATGCTGTGCTGTCCGTGCCGTGTGCCCTCCTCCTGTGCCACGGCTGCAGCCCTGGGCTCCCTGCCCAGCCCAGCTGTCCCCTGTGGGCCGTGCACCAGACCCTTCTTGGAAGGTCAGCACTGTGTTTGCTTTTGGGTTTGGCTTCGGCGTCTGCCAAAAGCCGAGCTGCCAGATGTGTAAAACTGGAGGAATTTTGCACCTGACGGAGGTTGCTCAATTTACCAATCTTCTGAGGAGACCCCGAATGTGCTTTACCTCCAGGGCGGGAAACTCGTTTTTAAGGTGGAGGATCTCCTCAGGAATCCTCTGCAAACCTCTGTGTAGAGTGAAACATCTTGTTGTGGCAGAAGGTGGTGGCAGGTAGAATGTTTCTGAGCAAGATGGGACAAAGAGCCCCAGCTCTGCCCTGGGATTTTGGTGTCTGAACTGTGAATGCTCTTGAAGAGATGTGATCTGTCACCTTCACCGGTGGGCAGCATAAAAGCTGTTTGACTGTGAGAACCCAGTGATGATTTGGTTCTTTGCATTAATTTTGATTTGCTTCTTTTCCCCTTACTGTTGGCATGTATAATAGAGTGAGACCAGCCCCAGCGCTGCAGCAGGGATCTGGGTTTGCATTGCTGCGGCAGATAAACATGTGAAAAACACTCGTGCTCAAGCAGGATATGTGTCCAGGTGCCAGTGGTGCTTGGCTGCTCCCTGAAGGACTGATCTGCACCAAGATGGTGGCTTTGCATGTCAGGCTTTTGCTCTGCACCCAAATTATTTCAAATCTAGCAAAGCTTGTGCTATGTATAAGCAGGGGATGCCTCCACAGCCGTGTGGTGGGATCGGATGGCAGTGAGCAGCTCCCTCAGCAACACGGAACATGAGCAAAGCATGGAAATGCCTGGCCTTGAAGCAAAGTGGGGGGCTCAGGGCACCCCTGGGAGCTGCCTTGGCAGTGGCTGTGGCCCCCTCCCACTCTTGGGAGCAGCAGTTTGCACTGTGGCTGCTGCTGAGAGCCCTGCATGGCTCATAAAGTCCAGGACTCAGATTAGGAAATGTCAGAGATTCAGTTTCCTGGGCAACCGTAATACGGCCCCATGTGCAAGGGCATTAGGGTGTGCCCAGTAATTGCATGATCCCTGCTGTTTGCCCCATTCCTGGCACTGGCTGGAGCCTCCAGCCCCTCAGTCTTGGGGCTTGAGGCACCATTCTCCTGGGCTCGCTTGTCCATCCCAAGGTTGTGATGCTCCTGGAGGCGGTAATTGCCTTCCCACCTTTTCTGTAGTCATCTTCCCACCTGTTCTGGTTCTCTGCTGTATTTGAAAATTTGAAAAACAAATGGATTTAAGTTCTCGTCACCCTACAGTTGGGAGACCTTGCTCCTATGAAGTGGCATCCTTGAGGCAGTGGAAGAGCAAACCAGTGTGGCAAATTCCCCCCAGACCCAAGGAGCTTGCCTCTAATCAGAGCCATTTGCTCTGGGTCCATGCTGAACTCAGCAAATCACATCCTCTTCCAACAAATTCCATCTAATCTTTGCTGAGTGCCTCTGCAAACTTCTGCAGGCAAAATATCCAGTTTTAGAGGTCTTGACAGAGACCTGTTAGGATTCTCCACCATCCTCTGCTTTCTAGACCTGGAAGCATCTGTATGGGGGCCGCTCTGTGAGCCTGCTGGAGCTTGTGCATTCCTCCCTGGGAAGCCAGCCCTAAACACAAGGAAATATGGTTGGGTTTGATGATCTTGGAGGTCTTTTCCAACCTTAATGATTCTATGACAGTGACCACTGCATGCAGGTTAGCCTCCCGACCCCGTCTGAAGCTGCTGTGTTTGTATGGTGCAGAGAGAGGGTCCAGGACTGGCACCAGCAGCAAGATAGGTCTGTGCCTGTCTAGGAAATGTGGTTCATGGCAGGTTTGAATGTGGTCAGGTTGGGACTGAGGAACAGACAGCTAACCCCAGGAGGGTCAGCAAACTGCATTTCACAGCCCCCGAGCATGCTTGGAGCCATGAGAGCTCTGCTAAAGTTAGTACTGAACATGGCACAGCCCATTCAGCCACCCTGGCTGTTGAGCTGGTGCATTTGTGTGTGTAGGGACGCTGCTGGCATGCCCATGCCTCCATTGTCTTGAGCACATGTGCGAAGATGCTGCTGCTGTCACAGGGCTGTGCTCTGCAGGTGTTAAGGTGCAGCAAGAGCCTCTGCAGCTTTCGAGGCATGGGAGAGGCCATGGGATGTCCTGGCTGTTTGGAGCAGCTTCACTGAGATCTCAGGCAGCAGGGGGAAGCAGGTCCTGGTTCACCAAGCAGCTGCCAAAGTCACCAGCGACTTGCATTTCCCATGGGGAATTTCACCCTGGTGGTGGCAAGCAAAGGGCTGCAGACCCCTGGGCTCAGCACTGCTCCTTTGTGTCCCCAGTGCTTGGCAGGGCCTGAGTGATGCCTGGCACCCCTCGGATGATAGAGGTGAGAGCAGATTGCCTGTCTCCCCCTGCAGAGCTGGGTCTGGCTGCTCCTGAGCCGTGTCCTGGCTCGCTGCCCCCTGCCCGGGGTGGAGCCGGTACTCTGACACCATCTGTCCTCTGCCTTGCCGAGGGGGGAGAGCATCTGCAGCTCCCGTGTCTGAACCCTGTTCTGCTCCTGTGGGGCAGCTGGGATGTGGTCTGGGGATGATCACAAGCAAGTGCTTGCGCCCTGGCATGGAGGGACCAGGCTTGGAGAGCTGATCCTGTTCCCCATGCATCAGCTGCCCGTGGAGCTGGGACATTTAGGGAGGAGGTGGTGAGCCAGGCACGGAGAGCCATGTGCCTCATGTAGCTCACAGGGGTGCCAAGTCTTAGGACTGCATGGAGGTGTTTACAGTTCCAGTTCCTGTTCCCTTTTCCTGCTGGGTTTTCTGTCACAGGCTATTGTTGGGCATTTTGCGCAGGAAGGAGGGAGAAATCTTTTGTTTTAAGCTGATTATTGGAGCTGCAGAGGAATGTGTGAGCAGCCGTGGTCTCCATGGCTGGCCAGGAGCAGGGCAGCGTAGTGGTGAGGATGGAGCCTGGCACCAGGTGGGATCAGGCAGCTGCCACACCATGCTTGGGACATTTGGTCCTTGCTGTGGGACATCTGCAGACCCGTTTTGTGGTAGCAAATCCCCCCAAGCTGGGGATTTACATCCTGGTAGGTGACCAGACCTTGCTAAGGTGCTTGGGTACATTTGATTGCTGTGGAAATATTGTCTGGTCCTGCTTTGGGGCTGGAGGTGGGATGTACAGCTCCAGGCTTCTTGAGGACTGCAGGGTCATGTGATGGGATGCTTTGACTGGGAAGCTGCTGAGATGCTAGAGCAGGTATGTGCCTCCAGTGCTGGAGGGGATTGAGCTCTGGGACATCCCACATATCCTACTGCAGGATCCTCTCCTTTCCACTAGTAAGCACAAATCTCAGGAATTTAGTGCTGACCTTGTGACATGGCACTTGAGAAACTCCTGGTTTGGCTTCCTGGAGGAAGGTTCTATCTTGTCTTACTTAACTTAGGATGTGTCTGGAGATGCTGTGGTGGCCTGGGAAGGAGTGGAGAGGAAGCCATAGGCTATTCTTAGCCCTTTTGTTAGAAAAGCTCTTTGAATGAGTGCACTGGAAAATAACCAGTGAGTTCCTAGTTTTGCCAGTGCCGGCTGACACCCCGGTTTTGGGATCTATGTCCCTTCTCCACCTTGGGAAAGGAAATGTGGCTGTGTGCAGGAGAGCATCTGTGTGCCATGGAGGAGTAGAGCACTGCTGGCAGCCCTGTGCTGCGGTGGGGACCGGGCCAGGGCATCTATGTGGGTGCTGGCAGTTTGGCCTGATGGTGAGGGAGGGGCAGAGCTGCCTTCTGCTCTGCTTGGCTCCAATCTCAGCTTTCAGGACAAAGGCTGGAGCATTTCCACGGCCAAGTGCCGGTGCCTGGAAAGCTGTCAGCTGCCTGCTGGGCTCTGCAGGGCTGCCACGGTGTGGGTTTGTGTTCTCAGTGGTCACTGGCTGCTGCTGGAGGAGCTCATGGTGGGCTCTTCCTTCCACCTCCCAGTAAAGGCAGAGAGTGCCTTAACCCTTTTCCTGTTCTTCCCCTTTTCCAGCTGGCTGTTCTGGAGGACTATGCAGATCCCTTTGATGCGGCACAGGTGGCAGGTAGCCAGGCAGGGCTGGAGAAGGTGATGGAGAATGACGGATATATGGAGCCGTATGAAGCCCAGAAGATGATGGCTGGTAAGGTGGAAGGCATCACACAAAGGCCACTCTTCACACCTCTGGTCCCTGAGTTTGGTGGCCACTGTATTCTGCTCCTTGTAGCCCCCACATAAGGCAAACCTGGGTGATGGTTCTGGTGGGGCACAGCCATTTTGCAGGCAAATTTTCCCAGCTTTATCCTTGTGCACTGGGTGTGCAGGAGCATGCAAAGACTGTCTGAGCACTACAGGCACATCTCCCTGCGATGCTGTCCCTCAGGACCCCAGCTGCCAGGTTGAGTCATGAGGGACCTGACATTCCATGCATCTGGCTTAAAACTAAGATGGATGTGGGAGCTATTTAATTCAGTTAGGACTGGGGCAGAACACGCTGTGTCTGCTGCAGCAGCAGGGCCCCCAGTGGGCCTGTCTAGGGCTGGAAAGCTGGCGAGCTGGGAGCATATGCTCCTGAAGGCAGTGCTCAGGGTCACCAAGCTGGCTCTGGCTCTGCTTTGCAGCTCTGTGGTTTTCCTGGAGTAAGTGGTTTCTGGAAAGCTCGTGGCTTTTTGAAGTAGTCCATTATATTTCTTGGAAAAACCAGCAAGCAGTGGAGAGACTGCTTGTGCCTGTGGGAGAGACTTTGTTTTGCTTGAGGGAGGGGTGTTTTATTAAACCAACCACTCTGGGTGTCCAGGGGAGAAACTCAGCCTCGCTGCTTGCGGGAAGACAGGCTCAGGGTGCTCTGTCCCCATGGACCCCATTTTGCCAGGCTGCCCAGGAGTGGGGGTGTGGGACTGTGGGGATCTTGGTGCTGTTGAGCAGCTCTCCTACTCCTGGCAGCTGCTTGTTGTTTCCTCCTCTGCTGATGCTTCCTACCCCATTTTACCACGGGTGACATTGATGCCTGTCATCTAGCACCGTTTTGGGGGACCATGACTGTGTTGGGCAGGAGGCTCATGGTGTTTTCCCTCTGCTCTGGGCAGAGATCCGCCAGAAGGGCTTGCGGGAGGCTCCCGCCCGGCCGCTGCACCTCTACGACACTCCCTATGAGCCTGTGCTGGACATGGACAGTGACTGCTCGGCGTGCCCCAGGCCCAGGGAGTCCCGGCTGCCCGAGGATGATGAGAGGCCACCAGAGGAATATGACCAGCCCTGGGAATGGAAGAAGGAGCGGATCTCCAAAGCCTTCGCAGGTGAGTGATTGGAGCAGCCATAAAGCAAACAACACTTTTTGTGAAGCTGGATCTTTGGGGTTCCTTCATCTTCTGGGGGGCAGTAATGTTGGTCTCTTCATTTTCATAGCTCAGGGGGTACTTGTGCTCTTGCAGAAGCTGTTTCTGTGAGCAGGGAGCCAGGCTGGACAGAGTGATGGATAGAGCTGCCTTGGTAACCTGTCCAACACCTGTGTTCCATTGCCTCTTCCATGCTCCAACCAGTCACAGCCTGTGGTGCAAATTAACACCCTCAGCCTTGCAGAGATAGGTTCTACCCTGCACTCAAGCAGATCCCTCCTTCCTCAGGGCAGGAGGATACCCAAGGAGCCTTCGTCCAGCCCCCTGACCTATTTATCCGTGCTGTGGGATCGATTGTGTTTGTGTTTGGTAATGAGGAAATCCATGCTGTGCATTAGCGCTGGCTCCTTGCCGGTGCTGGCTAATTGCTACGCTCTTATCTAGGATGCATTTTAATTGCAGCATTGTGTGTCTGTGCTGCAGCTGGTGCTGAGGGTACTCAGGCTGGTGGCACTGTGTGGAGATGATGGCAGAGAGAGATGTGGAAATTTGGGGTTGGGGAGTGGTTCACCTATTGGGTGTGGGCACTGCGAGCTGGAGATATGTGTGCTGGGCCCAGTGTCACAGTGTCACTCGTGCTTGGGGTACCAGGTCCCACAGCACCCTGTGCCGAGGATTCGGCGTGTCGGGCTCCATCATGGAACACCGTGCTCTGCTGGGCTGGGTTTGTGCTGAGGTGTCTGTGCTCTGGATGGAGTTGCCTTACTTGATACCCCCGGGTGGAAGTGATGTGTTCACAAGTCTGGCTCACATGTGGGTGCTGCCCAAGGTGCTTCAGGCCTGCTCTACGTCCCGAGGGAGTCACGTTGCTGTTCTCTAGGCCATGCTGGGACCTGCTGCCTGTATTTTCTGAAGCCAGAGCAGATCCTGCTGTGTTTCGTGGGGTGTTTCTTCTCTTCAGTGATGCCAAAATATCTCTGCTGGCCCATTTCCCCTTTGAGGGGTCTGTGGGACCCCTGCTGATGGGCAGCTGCCACTGGTACAAGGCTGCAACCCACTGGTGCCTAGCAGGGAAATGTGGAGCCTGTGCGTCGCTGGCAGGTACCTGGGGCAAGACAGATGCACAGGCAGGACAGATGGCAATGGGATGCTTGGCCAAGACCCCCAGACAAACAAGTATGTGGAACGGGGTGATTGCAGGCTCCCCCAAACCCCAGAGAGGGTTGGCTGGAAAAACTGATGGAGGAGCAGGGTCTCTCCACTGGGAATGTGCCCCACCTCAGGCCTGTCCCTGCTTGGTACTGTGGAGGGGATGAGATGGCCAAGCTGATGTAGGGCTCCTGGGAATTTAGTCCTCAGGTCTTTCCTCCCCAACTGCTCTCCTCCTCTGTGGGTCTCTGGTGTCGCTGATGTTTTTTCTAAACTCTTTCTTTCTCTTTCTTTCTCTCTCTTTCCCACACCCTCCCCACCCCCATCCAGTTGAAATCAAGGTCATTAAAGACCTGCCATGGCCCCCGCCGGTGGGACAGCTGGACAGCAGTGAAAGCCCCCCGGATGGGGAGGCTGGTGCCCCCATCCCTCCGCAGCACGGCCAGCACAGCTACGAAGACGCCAATGGTGGGTCTTGCGTGACAGCGGCGTGTCCGGGGGGCTGCAGCCCGTGCTCGCTGTGACTCTGGACCGCTGTGATGCCCTGGGGCTTGTCCTGGGCAGTGCCAGACATGACCCTCCTCCTCTGCCCTCCCCCAGCTCCTCCTGGCCCCTTCAGTTGTCGTGTGCTGGACGCCAGTGTTTGTCCTGCTGTACCTTCTGCTGCAAAGAGGCACCAGCTCTTTGGTGCCTCTTTGCTCTCAGCAGCAGAGCTGCTCTGGGGGATTATTCCATGGCATGGCAGAGTTGTTACTGTCCCTTTTGTTCTCTCCTCTTTGCCTCCAAATTCCCAACATTTCATGGCTGCTTTTAAGGTCTTCTCAACAACTGCACTGAGTATTTAGCTGATGTTTTCTTTCATTGACTGACTTTCAATGCCCAGGTCCCTTACAGGTGTGTTAGGAAGCTAATTCAGATCCCAGTGCTGAAGCTGGGGCTGTTTTCCCCCTCTTCATTATTTAGCACTGCTCCGTTTCCTCTGCTGTTTTATTACCTTGCTGCTTAGTGTCAGGAGGTCCCTGTGGATTCTCCACTCTTGCTTTTGCTATCCTGAGCAGCCAAATCTCCCAGGTACACTTTGTCATCTCAGGTTTGCCTTGCTGTGAAACCTTTTTTGTGTGTGCTGAGCATAGAGCCCTTGGGTAAATCCCCTTTGGATGCTGCTGGCAGTCTCACTTATGAAAGCCAAATATTGCTGCTTCTCTTTTAACCCTTTATTAATATTTCAAGGACCTTGCTCTTATGCTGTGGTGAATTAGGATTTTGCCAAGAGCATTAGGTGGGGGCAGTTTGTGGAGCTGGGATGCAAGCTGTGCCTGTGTAGCAGCGTGCAGGGCCTGCCTGTGTGTCACTGACGCTGTCCGGGTGGGCACACACTGCAGTGCCAGCTGCAGATGTCTGATTTCCTTATCTGCAGCTACCCAGATCCCTGCAGAGCTGCATAAGATAAAAGCCAGTGGGGCTTGAGCACAGGCTGCAGGTGATGCCTTATTTTGGTGCTGATGGTGGGGGCACTCGAGGGCAAAGTGGCTGCTCTGCCTGGGCTTTGTTGGGTGTTTCCCAAACCCATAGGGATGCTGCAGGCTGAGATCAGTCCTTGAGAAGAAAGGTCTTGGCAGGTGGGAATTTTCTGATCCTCTTCCTGCAATCCATGCAGGTGTCAAGAAAAATTAATCTCTTTGTTATGCAGCCTCTTCTTTTCCCCATCATTTATTATCCCTACAGTCGCTCTGACATGCATCCTGCTCCTGATGAACACATCACTCTGTCGTTTTTCCTAGTTTTAGCAACACAGAGTCTGTTTTCCCTCTGACTTGCCTTGCTTTGTTGTATTAAGTTTATCTTGCCAGAGTTTTGTCTCATTTTCTATTTCCCATGTCTGGGGGTGACTTGAACGTCTTGAAGGATGTCTTCTTCTTCCTAAGGGCTTGTTTTTAATATCCTGTTTAATCATGCACCTGCCTCTGCCTCCCTCTGACAGGTGCAATGCATTTCTTTTGAGCCTGTAACGCAATGACTTTGTGCTGCCAGCAAACACTTGGGCTGTTTGATTGTCTGGCTTTTTAACAATTGCCCCAATTTTTTAAGGTGATGAGTTGAAATTGGAGCCTGTGTGTGATGTACAAGGGCGAGCATGGTCGGTGAAAAGCCAGAGTGCTGCAGAAGCAGAGCTTGTCAAGCCATAATGCCAGGCACCTCCTCCTTGAGCCGTGCTCAGGGTGGTTTATGCCATGCTAAGCTGCAGAGGATTTTGGCTGGGTTTGCTTTTGGCTGCCTTCCCCTCCTTGCAGTGCTGGGGGGGCTAGAGTCCTGCTCACCTGCACAGGACCTGGACAAGGTATCACTCAAACAGCTTAGAGGATGCCCTGCTAGAGAGGAAAAGATCCCTCTGGCTATTTTTTGCCTCCCCATCCAGCAGCCAGAAATCATGGAGAGTTGTCCTGACTGGGGCATTCGAGAAGTCCTAGGGCATTTCTGGGCTTGGCTGCCTCCAGGGTGACTGTGCTGCTGCAGTGTCAGCCCCTGGCAGCCCCACACTGTGGCAGCTCTGCCTGATCAATAACTAATTTGTGCAAGGGGGTTGGTGGTACAGGGGGCAATAATGAACTCTTGGGAGGAAAGAGAAGCAATGTTGTTAATGCTGAAATCATCCTGCGTGGAAATAACAGGCAGTGGGAGGCCAGGTCCCTGGGGCACAGCTGGGTCAATCCCCCGCACTCACGGCTGTGGCTGGGCTGGTGACAGGCAGGTGGCAGTGTCAGGGGGGTACCTGCAGTCAAAATATCCTCTTCCCATCTCAGGAATTGTTTTTTCACCCCCTGTTTGTTTGTGTTAGAAGAACATGTCCATCGGTTCCAAACTGGCAGCTTCCTTTAGCTCCATCTATCCCCTCTTCTTCTGAGATTGGGGAACCTCTTCTTGCAGCATCTCACTTAACCCTGTACCACAGCCACTGAATCTATTTTTGCATTAGCAAAACCTCCTGAGCTTTTGAAACCTCCCTGGAAATGTCTTCCATGGGCTCAGCTACTGGCTCCAGCCTGGGCACTGCAGTGAGCAGCAGCCCAAGAGCTGCCCTGCCCTTGCTTAGACCAGGGGGATGGGGCAGTGTGAGGTGACCCAGTGTGATGTAAGTGGTTCTGGCTCTTCCTGCCAGAGGAAGTTAGGATCCCAGCCTGTGATGTGTGTCTGTCTTGCAGGTCCATCGGAGGGGCTGGGGTACGGCCGCACCTCGCCCTGCAGGGAGGAGAAGGCCAGGGCTGTCCTCAGGCATGGCTCCAGCAGCCTCAAGAACACAAAGACACTGACAGCTGAGCCTGGCCCCTTTGTTGGGGAGAGGATTGACCCTGCCCTGCCCCTGGAGAGTCAGTGGTGAGTCCTGCCTGCCCAGCACGGCTGCCTGACCCTTCCACCTGCACTGGGGAGCCCTGTGGCCACACCATGAGGATCCCTGGGGCAGACTCGCTTCTTCCTTTCTTCCTTTGCTCCACATTTCAGCCTGTTTATCCCTGCCCCTTGTCTCCCAACCCCAGTGGTGCCACCCCCTTTTCCCAGAGCGTGGCTGCAGTCCCTTGGGAGGTGCTGGCATTGCTGCTGCCCCAGGGCAGAGCCCTTGCCATGGTGTGTGCTCTGTGCCCAGCACAGCAGAGCCCTCTTCCCCTGCTGCCCCAGGGCAGCTGTGTGCCCAGAACAGCAGAGCCCTCTCCCCCTGCTGCCCCAGGGCAGAGCCCTTGCCATGCTGTGTGCCCAGCACAGCAGAGCCCTCTCCCCCTGCTGCCCCAGGGCAGAGCCCTTGCCATGGGGTGTGCTCTGTGCCCAGCACAGCAGAGCCCTCTTCCCCTGCTGCCCCAGGGCAGAGCCCTTGCCATGCTGTGTGCCCAGCACAGCAGAGCCCTCTCCCTGCAGCTGGTACCACGGGGCCATCAGCCGGACGGACGCGGAGACGCTGCTGCGGCTGTGCAAGGAGGCCAGTTACCTGGTGCGCAACAGCGAGACCAGCAAGAACGACTTCTCCCTCTCCTTGAAGTGAGTGAGCCTGCCGGGCCTGGGGGGTTGTGGACCCACAGCAGAGGTGACCCTTAGGTGGGTGCCCCAAGTGAATTGTGCCTGTGCTAATTGGCTAACTATGAGATGACCACGAGCAGGCAGAAATGGCTGCAGTGTGCACTTCTCTGTGGTGTGGCACAGGTTTGTGGTTTGGTGTCTGGCAAAAATGTCTCTCAGGAAGATCTGGAGCCCCGCTGCTCTTCCTTGGCAGTGCTAATAATCCCTCAGATTAATCAAATGGCATGCCTCACTTCTCAGTCAAATGGGTCTGGTTGCAGCTTCCAGCTCTGTTTTCTTGTTCCCCCTTTTTTTGTAGCCTAGTTTCATGGGAAGAGAAAGTTTGTAGGAGCCCGCTGTTGATGGAAATGTGGGTACCCATCCTTGCCTCCCCAGCAATGGATGTGTTCCCTGGCTCAGCTGTAGAGACGGCTTTACCCTGCTCTGGTTTGACAGTAGGGAAACTTCATCTCCACAGCACAGCTTGGTTTCTGCTTGCAGTTTTTGGGGAATCTTCATATTCTCCCCAAGTTTTCCAGATTCCCTGGATGCCAAAATTGCATGAAGCATCTCTGCATGTGTCCTGACGGGGGGGAACTGCCCACAGCTCCTCATCCAGCTCTGTCCTGGCTCTTGGGGCAGCACGAATCCACAAAATCAAACCTGTTACTGTCTGAAGATGATGATGGATGAGCAAATACCGTCTTGCTCTTCTGCTGGACAGCTATATTATCTCTGTTCCTGCCAGATGGGAAATAAGTATTCATTGAGCAATTCAGCTATCCCTGCCCAACAACAGCCTCTTAACCTTGTGCTTTCTCAGTATACTTTGAGTTCCCCCAGTGGTCTTTCTACCTGCATTGCTCCCAAGGGGTATCAGCCTCTCTGTTTATTTCCCAGTGGCACAATTTTGAATTAGATTGCTCTGTCTCTCTCCACATTTTTTTCACTCTTTTTGTTGCCTTCAACACCAAACCAGGGCAGGAGCTCCACTGAAAATATACTTTTTTCCTTCTGCATTTAGAGCTTTCAGATCAGCCAATAAACCCTTCTGGAGTAGCTCCCTCCTTTCCCTTTTTTTGGTCAGAATTTTTACTGATGATTTAATTTTTACTGACATTTTAATTTTCTGTGTTTTTTCCTTGCCCTGGCTTGTGAGCCATTTTGGAGCAACAGCTTCTTCTGGCTGGTTTTGAACAGCTTGCATTTGAAGCTGCAAGAGGTCTCACCATTGCCTTGTGAGTGGCATTAGGCAGTTGTGTGTTGGAGAGCCTGGGAGGTGGCATTCCATCACCAAAGGTGGCTTTTCATCACCTCTCCACAAGCCAGTCACCTGTTTCTTAGTGGTTTTTCCCTTACTTCTTGCCATCATCCTTAGTCTTACGGCAAAATCCTCCTCTCAGAGGGCATGTGTGGCTAGGCCATGGTGTGCAGCAGTATTCCACCTTTTCCAGCCCATCAGGGAGTTGCTTGGGCATTGCCTGTCTTTGCAGAGTTTGTGGAGAACCCACAGCCCTGGGAGCAGGATTTTTACTCCACTGCCTTTCTCTGTAGAGCCTGTCCAAGGAAAATCCCCTGGGATGCTTTTTATATAGCTGTAAGCTGGCTGTCTGCAGCTCTCTCTATTATTTTTTTTTAACTTTTTTTTTTTTCCTTGAGGAAGGAGGCACAGCCAAGGAGATGGTCTGAAAAGCGTTCCAATGCTGACCTAAAGTACTTTGGTGTTGCTTTAAAGGAAAATATGCACAAGAGAGAGCAGCTAGGAGCAGGTCAGGTAGCTGGAAGGATTTAACCCTGCTGTGACAGTCCTGGCTGGTCCAGGCTAGGCAGCCTCACGCTGCCTGTCATGGATAGGGTCATGTCATTGCCTCAGATGCTGGGAGAGTGAGTCCCTCCTGGCTTGTGCCTCCAGGAGAGTGGCTGAGGCCACACTGCAAAGCTTTGTGTCCTTCCTTGTGCCTGCAGAGGTGCTCAGCAGGAGCAGCACCCACCCCTTGTCCTGGCTGCTGGTGTTTGCAGCCTGTTCCCTCGGTCATCTCTCTAGGGCTGTGATCTCATCACATCCCTGAGCTTGTGACAAAGACCTGTGGAGCACTTTGGGCTAAGCACAGCCAGTATCAGCTCTCCCTGGTTCCGTGTGGCAGCGCTCCCGTTCCCTCCCGACCGGGACGCAAGACACGGCCAAGCTATTGCTTTTCCTCAGCCCATATTGGGGGGCTGTGGCTGCCTCTCAGGACAGCTGGCTCCTTGCTCCTGTCTCTAAATGGATTGCAAAGCCATTCTGCTAATGCAGCTGGGCTGTCCATTATGGCCCGTCTCCAGCCGGGGGGATGGGGCTGGGCTGTGCAGCACTCCAAGCAGCTCAGCATCACTGATGAGGTCCTGTCTGCTTTTAAGTCATCAATATTTTGCCGTAATGTGCAATCCAGACGCTGCAGACAGGCTGTGGCTCTCCTCGGAGACGCAAATTAATAGCAACAGGGCCATTAGTCCGTCACTTGGAATCAGTGTTTGTGGCAGGATCTGCCTGCACAGCCTGGCGTGGCTTGGTGCCCGTGCTGTGCTGGGAAATGATCTTGCTGTGCTGAGCGGGTTTTATGGAGCCTGCAGTGGTGCCATGGGGAGAGGGGGAAGGAGAAAATCCTTTGGCTGTGGGCTAAAGGAGAAAAACCTGATTTGCCACGGTGAGGCTGGAGATGTGGGAGCTGGAGTCCCTTGAGCTGAGGGGATCTTGTGAGAACCAGAGCAGTTGCAAAAGGGGCTTTGTCACATGCAAGGAGCAAAAGCCACTACCCCTCCATGACCCTACAGCAAGCGCCCCTGCTGCTCTTGCCCAGGTGATGTCTTCCCAACCACACACACCCTGGGTGGGCCCTACCTACCCCACTGCATGGCCATGTTCCCCAAGGGGACGCTGTGCAGCATCATTGGTCACGTCCCTCCTTTGATCTGTGGGTGTTTTTGGAGTCGGCCAGGAGCAGGATGGTGCAGGCAGAGCATGGCTGCAGACAGGAGCCAGCAGTGCCCCCCTCAGCTCCAGGGGCAGGCTGCCTGTGTCAGGGGGTCAGGAGATGAGGGGAGGCTGGGGCCAGCTGTACCCCCTAACCCTGCCTTGATCTGTCCTTACAGGAGCAGCCAGGGCTTCATGCACATGAAACTGTCGCGGACACAGGAGAACAAGTACGTGCTGGGTCAGCACAGCCCGCCCTTCGACAGCGTGCCGGAGATCATCCATCACTACGCCAGCCGCAAGCTGCCCATCAAGGGGGCCGAGCACATGTCCTTGCTTTACCCGGTGGCTATCCGTACCCTATAGTAATCACCCCCACGAGCCAGGCTCAAGGCTGGGTGCACCCAAAATTGGCCCATCCCCAGGGCTGAGCGCTGCCGTGCCAAGGATGGGCTCCAGACCGTCAGCCCATGAGCAGCTCGCTGGGCACAGCCGGTGCTGTCGGGGATTGCTGCAGCTGGGCCCCTCGTCCTGCTCTCCCAGGGGCTCCCCTGCACTGGTTTTGTGCTGGCATGGCACTGGAAGGACCCCCACTCAGCGAGGGGCTGAGTGGGGCTCGCCGGCTGTCCACACCTCCACACCTGCCTCCTTGGCAGAGCTTGGGATGCCAGGACTGGAGCTGGGACCTTGGAGAGTCCAGGGAGGGGGGCAGTGTGTGCGAGTACGGGGATGAATCATCCGGTAGCAGGCTTGAGGTACCTCCATGAGGGTGCCTAGCTCTGCCCATGAGAGACAAAACAGCTGTGCTCGCAGGTAAGGAGGCTGGCAGGAGTGAGCAGGACCTGCCTGGGCCAGCAAGGCATGCAGAGTGCCAGGCAGGCTGCCCTTACTGCACCGCTGCTCAGTACTCACTGCCATCCTTTGCCAAACGTGAACAGTGACCGGCCTTGGCCCTGTGTGCAGCACCACTGCCTAATAAAGCAGTGCATGGTTGTCTCCTGCTTCATGGGACTGTGTGCCCACATCCCACCGGGAGTGGGGGATCAGTGTAGCAAAACAGTGGAAAGAGAAATTTTGTTACACAAAAGCTTAAAGGGAATTGATTTTCCCTGTGCCCGTTGGATCCACTGAGATTGGCGTGCCCATCCAGCCAGCATCCCCTCTGAGACACAGGGGACAAAGGATTCTGATGGTCATGTCCTTGCCATGTCTTTGAGACCATTTGTGAGCAGTGATGAGGTGATTTTGGACTTGCCTGTTACTCCCTGTAGAAGAGGGTGCTCTTTGGGATCTTTTGCCTTCTTGTTTTCCTTCACCTCTCATAAATCTTAGGCAAAGTCCCAGAATTTCACAGAGCTCCTGATCTTCTCTGAGAAATTACTGGCTCCACTCCTGTTGTTTGTCTTCCTGACACCTTGTCTTTGGGCCAGCTTGCTCCTGGATTTTTTTGGCTGAACCTCTCTCTGGTGCTCTGTACTGTTTCATACATTGCCTGTTAACCTTGTTCCTGGTGTTGCTCCTATATCCATCGTGCACATACATGTCCTCTATCCATGCTTCAGCCTAAGCTCTATCCTGCTGTTACTCTCCAGCAGCACATTCCCTTTCCCTGCTCTCTGGGTGGAGATGACAGCAGAAAATTCACTTTAGCCTGCAAAAACCTTTTCTGTTAGTGGAGCAAAGCCCTCGGGCATCGGTGGGATGAGTTAGCAGTGGCCTAGTGAAGGCTTTGTGAAAAATCATCATCCTCCCTTCTGCCTGCTGCCAGGAGGAAGGTTGCTGGGGGACACTGAGGTGATTGATGGGACTGTGGGGATTTTGTGTGGGTGAGTGCTGCAGGCACTGTAGGAACCCTGCTCTGCCATCCGGGGTTTGGGGTTTTTCAGACTCAGTCTCAGCTGAGAGACAGCTGTCCTGGCTGCCCTGCACAGTTCTGAGCTGCTGTGGGGGCCGTGGGGCATGGCCAGTGTGCTCTGTGAATGCACCCCGTGACTGGGAGCTGCAGAAGCCCGGTGGGTTGGTCCAGGATGCCTCAGCCTCTGCCGCTCCTTAAAAGGCCTTGGATTGAGCTGGCCGGTGTCTCCTTACAGCCCACTTGGCTGCTGGCAGCTCTGGCTGCCTCTCTGCATCCCAGGGAGGCATTCTGTCCACTGGGGATGGAGGTGACTCCAGTGGGAGGGCTTTTCTCCCAGAGCCTGCAGGAAGGGCTGGAGATGCAGAAATCTGCAGCGATGCTGCTGGGTGCCCTTTCTGTGCTTAGGAGGTTTCAAGTGCCACTTAGCAGCCCCGCTGTGCCCTGATGGCTCCAGTGAAGAGCTCATCCTCTGCCTTCTTGGAAGCTGTGGGAGGGAAAGAGGCTTCCTGTGTCCATGCAGCTCCCCACATAGTGTGGGGCTGTTTTCCTGAGGAGCTGTGGCAGGGAGCAAACTGCCAGAAGGCAATCCTGGCTGTGCAGCCTTGTGGTGAAATCCTGCTCAAGCAGGCTGGCTCCATCTCAGGAGCATCCCTGCTGAGCACAGGGATGAGAGGAATGAGACCTGTTTGCATTGTACCAGCTGCCCAGAACCAGTCATGGACCAGCAGGACTGCCAGCAGCTGGGCTGTGTGTCCAAGTGCTCCAGAAAAATGGCTCTTGGTTGCTGTGGGAATTACATTCCTCCTGAGCCCCTTCTTCTCCAGGCTAAAGAAGTGAAACCTCCTTGTTCTGCCCCAACCAGCCTCAGCAGGACTCTCTGACTCTCTTCATGTACCTGGAAACCGTATCCAGGTGTGGTCTCAACAATGCCAAATAAAGGGAAAAAACCCCCTTCCTTTGTCCTGACCACCAACAATAAATATCTCCAGTTCTAGCAGGAGTTTCTCCCCAGAAAATTTGAACTTAAGTTCCCTTGAAAGGGTATTTTCGTGCGGCCTTTGCCATCCTGTGACTGAAGTGAGCATTGTTTGGGAATGGGGTGGGTGAGGGCAGGCATCCAGTAGGGCTAGAGGTGACAGGGATCCCTATTCATGAGGATGTTAATCCCCAGGAGGGAAAAGGGCATGAACAACCTTATGTGGCTTTAAGGTTAACCCTGTTGGGAGTATAAAGTTAGACCAAAGACCTTTGTTTGTAATAATTCCTAATCCACTTGTCCCAGTAATGCCCCATGTGCTCCCACTGCCGGTGTTCTGAATCCCTCCTCCCTCTGTCATTCATTGCTAGTCCCTCACAAAGCCCTCCACAGTCACAGGGCTGCTTTAGCATGCTGCAGCTCCTGATAATGGGGAAGGAAGTTTGTTTTGTAATTGGATTAGCACTGCTGGGAACAGCTTGTGCACAGTGTCAGGGCTGAGCTGGTGCAGCCCTGGCCTTGTGCCACTCTGCCTGGTTGTGGGTCAGTTGGGGCTGTGTTAGTCCTGCTCAGTACTTCCCTGACCAAAATGATGCTCACAGGGCTGTCTCCCATGAAGACAGGCTGGAAGAATTCAGGCTGTTAAGCCTGGAGAGGACAAGACTCCAGGGAATCCTTAAAGCCCTTTCCAGTGCCCTCAGGGTCTCCAAGAGAGCTGGAGAGGGACTTTGGACAAGGGCCTGGAGTACATGACAAGGGGGAATGGTTTCAAGCTGAGAGAGGCCAGGTTCAGATGAGATAAGAAGAAATTCTTGGCTGAAAGGGTGGTGAGGCCCTGGCACAGACTGCACAGAGCAGCTGTGGCTGCCCCTGGATCCTTGAAAGTGTTCCCTGGCCAGGATGGATGGGGCTTGGAGCAACCTGGGATAGTGGAAAGTGTCCCTGACCATGGCAGGAGATTGGAACAAGATGAGCTTTAAGGTCCTTCCCAACCCAAACCATTCTATGATTCTATGAAAATCTGCAGTTTTGCAGGATGGAGGCAACCAAGAGGGATAAAAAACTGATAGAGGGCAGAATTGGAGCTTGCCCACCTGGGAAATGTTTACTGAATTCTGTCCCTAATGTCTCCCACCTGCTAGAAATGAAGCCCTTTGGTTAGTGTCAAACCTCACATCACCCATCCCAGCACAAGTCATCAAGGCTCCCAGGTACCTCAGAGGTTGGAGAGAACCAGCAACTGATCCTTGTGGGACTGGGTTAAACCCTGACATTGTCATCCATGCCCCCTTCCTACCCCTCTGGCCTGGAGAGGTTCCTTGAAGCCAAGCCTAGTGATTAGTTTGAAACCCCAGCCCTAGCAGGGATGCTTAAGTTACTTGAGTATCCCTGAGAATGCTGTGCCCTGTGTTTTGCCTCCAACCACAGCAATCTACAGGAGGATCAGATAACAGCTCAGCTGCCAGAGTTTAGAGCAAAGGAGAGAAATTTGCTCCTGATCCCTTCAGGCTGCCAGTGGAATGTGCAGGGTTGCACATACATAGCACACATGTACACAGACATGGCCCAGCTGAATGCCTCCTCTCTAATCTTTTCCTAAAGACCAAATATTTGACCCAAAGGACAAATTTCAACTTCTGACTTGGAGATCACCCTCATTCAGTCCCTTCAGTATGGTTCCCAGCATCCTCCCAAACCTCTGACCTGCTCCTGGTGTCCTGTTTGGAAATTGTCCCAAGACATCTTGGCTTGGATGCCTCCACCTAATTTTGAGTCTACACCTGTGAGCAGTTCTCTACTTTTCCTTGCACAATTTTGGAGGCCTGTCTCCAAACCACCATGCTCAGGCACATAGAAGGGGAAATTGCTTTAAGCTAAAATGAACATCGATTTAGTTAGATTAGATACAAGAAGTATTTTTACAGTGTGAGTGGTAAAGCCCTGATACAGGCTGCTCAGAGAGGTGGTGCAAGTCCCATGTGTGGAAACATTCAAGGCCAGGTTGGACAGGGCTTGGAGCAACCTGATCTAATTGAAGATGTTCCTGCTCACAAGAGGAGGTTGGACCTTCTGACCCAAACCTAGGATTCCATGATCTTCCAGCTGAGACATCCCAGTGCCTTGCTAGTGGGGTGGCTGTGTCCCTCCCCCAAACATCCCAGGCATGATGATTCCACTACCAGCCCTGCACTTCTTGCTCTTAACATTAGTGGGGGCATCCCAAGACTGAGGTGGGAGCAGTGCTGGAAGCTGCTCAGAGACATCACTCCAGCATAGCCCAGCATTTCACTTGGTTAGCTGGTTCTTCCTCTGGTTAAATCCATACCCATGACTTCCAGCATTGGAAACTGCTTCATACTGGGTGCAAATCAAACTTCTTCCTTAAATCTAACCAGGCTAAATTATATAAAAGCATAGAATCATAAAATGGTTTGGGTTGGAAGACACCTTAAAGCTCATCTCGTTCCTGCCCTCTGTCATGGGCAGGGACACCTTTTACTGCAATGCTCTGCATCACCTTATCAAAGTTAATTATCAGAGAGAAATCATTACCTTATCCTAAGACAATGTATCTGTGATAAATTCCGTTTACATTTGCTTTTCTGTCTGGGAGCTGGGTTTCCTTCAAAAAAGCCTCAGAAAGCTATGAAAGCCCAGATACATTTGAATCCCTCTTTTCCATTTTCTGGATGTGGTAGGCACATTTGCTGCATTGGTTTGAGATTTGAGCCATATCCAGGTTTTCTTAAACCTGGCCCTTCTGTCGTAGGGAGGTGACCTTGCTCCTTCCCTCCCTGATGCCACGCAGCCCCTCATCTCATGCACTCACAGCGTGTCCCTCAGGCATTCTCTGCCCTTCCTATCCCACTCAGCTCGATAACCTGCACAGCCACAGTCTTTCTCTTAATTTCCACCATGAAGGTACGGAGATTTTTCTCCAATAAATGGCAAGCCCTGACTGCCTGTGTGGGACTGGCAGGCTTGCTCCGTGTCCCCTGTCCCCATCCCCACAGTGCTGATTTAGTGCCCAGCGCACTCCTGCCCGCGGTTACCTCCGCACAGGCGCTGCCCGCCTGCCTCTGGCGCTCACTGACCGTGCACAGCGTGTCCTGGCGGGCAGGGAAGGCTCAGCATCGCTTTGCCTCCACGTAGGGCCATGTCTGAGCAGCCCACAGCTCCTTCTGGTAACTCACTCCGAGGACTGCAGGCTCTCTGCTGCTGCTCTCTTTTCCTTCTGCACATGCAGCCTGTTGGAGCCTCCCCTGCCCCCATCTGCTCAGCCCCTCTCCTGAACATGTCCTGCAAGGGAGATGCAGCCTGGCTCTGACATCCCAGGCTGTCCTGGCTTGTCCTTCTCTGGAAACCATGGACTGAGTGGTGGCTGGGTTTTAAATCCTGCCAGAGGTAATGGAGAGTGTCTGGTGGGCTGCAAGAGCCAGAGTGCTACCCGGTGCCATTTAAGCCAGAGTCCCAGGTGCCACCCAGACTGCAGCTCCAGTAACTGAGGCCTCCGCAGGGGAAGTTCATGGGTTCCCAAGGACTTCCTCTCCTGACCTGTTGGACTGGGAGAGCAAAAGGGAGAAACTGAGATAACAGAGCCCCCAGAAATGCTTCAGAGAAAACCTTGAAGTCCAGAGGAGAGGGTTGTCACCCCAAGTTGCAGACTGGGCCCGTGCAGGCTTACACCAAGAAATGTGGGGAAGGCTCTGACCTATGAAGGAAGTACGGGAGGGACAGGGTCTCCTGTCCTTTGCCAGCTGGAACAGACTGGGGTTTGGAAGAAGGAGGTACAAGCTGAAACTTTTCCAGTTTGTTATGCAGAAAGCAGTTCCTGGTTTTCTTTCTTTTTTTTTGCTGTAGCTGAGCTTTCACATGCTACAGGCTGGGGGAGGTAGCCCATGTGGGACTAAGTCTGGAGACTGCATCACCCGCACAATGAGGGCTCTTGCATTTGCACTCGACTTCCAGCCTGTCCCAAAGGAAGTGGCACATCATATCCCAGAAGGCAAGAGAGCGAGCATGGGGTGTTTATCAGTCCCCCTGCGCCACAGACCCTGCACTCCCTGCTCAGCTCAGGGTCCCTCTGAAAGTCCAGCTGTTGGGACAACCTTAGGCTCTGTGGCTTCAGCAGCCCCACAGACAGCACAGTAATTCATGCTGGCAGCAGCTGCTCCCACTCAAAACACAGCAATAATTGTTCTTGCTGGGCTGGTCCTGCTTTGGGCCATAAAGAGCAAGATCATTCTTTTATCATCATCCATGTCATTCCTGTCTTGGCATCTGCAGTAAATGTCTGTCTGTCAGCAGGGCATTGGGGCACAAGGTCGGGTCACCTTCTGACAGACTCACAGGTTGCTTGGGATGTGGAATGGGAGCATCCGTCCCCGTGGCTTGGTGTAGGGGTGGGATGTGTCTGTCACGGCAGTGCCGGGGGATGCAGTGACCCCTCTGCTCTCCATTAACAGTGCAGCCCCCTGTGTGTGCTGCGCCGGGTCAACGAACCCTGATGGCAACAGCTCATTTCCATTTAGATAGAGGAATTTCAATCTCAGTTTGCCAGCTCTTCGCCACGGTGCGACTCAAGACCCAAATTTCCTCTTTCCTCCTCAAGATGCTCTCTGGGCTCGGGCACTGCAGCGCGTTCGGGGGAGCTGCCGCCGGGCCCAGGGCACAGCTGGGCCGAGGACGCGGGTCTCTGTGGCGCCGCGGGTCCCGCCCGGAACTGCCGCGCGGCCTCGGTGCGCTCCGCGGCCCCGCCGGGCCCCCCGTCAGGAGGCCCCGAGGGCGATCGCGGTGGGCAGCGGGGCGGACACGGGACACCGAACGGCGGACACGGCACAGCGCACAGCGCACACCTCATAGCACACACCGAACAGCAGACACTGCACACCTCACACCACACAGCGCGCGCCTCACACGGTCACTACGCGGCGGTGTCAGGCAGGGCCCGCGGCCGGGGGCGCGGCTGGAGCGCCACTGCCACCTGCCGGCCGCGCCGGGAACGGCGGGGGCGGGGCCGCTGGTGTGAGCAGGCCCGGCCGGCGCGGGGCCGCGCAGCCATGTCGGAGGGGACGGCGGGAATGGCGGCACCGGCGGCGATGGCGGAGGCGCGGCTGCGGCGGAAGCAGCTGCTGAGCGCGGAGGAGGCGGAGCTGTTCGAACTGGCGCAGGCGGCGGGCAGTGGGCTGGACCCGGAGGTGTTCCGGTGAGCGGTGGGCGCGCCCCCGCGGGAGCCGCCGGTGAGGCCGGAGCCCCTCTGACGGGTGCTCCCGGTGCCGGTGTTCCCCCGCAGGGTGCTGCTGGACCTGCTGCGCATGAACGTGGCGCCGCTCGCCGTGTTCCAGGTGCTGAAGTCGATGTGCGCCGGGCAGCGGCTCCCGCCGGCGGCCGAGAGCGGCCCCGCCGCGCCGGCGCCGATCCCCGCCGACGGCCGAGGTACGCGGCGGGCGGAGCGGGGCGGGCGGGGGGGCGGCCCGGCCCGGGGGGCCCGCTCCGTGTGAGCCCCGGGGGCGGCCCGGCCCGGGGGGCCCGCTCCGTGTGAGCCCCGGCCCGAGCCCCGTTTGTCTTAATGTTGGTGGTTTTTGGGCAGCGAGGGGCTGGGGAGAGGTTGCTGCAGTACTTGTGCTGCGTTTTGTAGCCTCCTGGCTCTGCTCGCCAAGCCCTTAACAGAAAAAAAACACCTTAATCTACGGTATTATTCAGTGCTGCTTTGTTTGTATATAACTCAAAAAAAGTTAAAGTTCCCGGGCCGTGAGGAATCCCTGGAGAAGAGGAAAGCTGTGTTGCTGCCTTTCCTCAATCCCCATGTGCGTAGTGGCTTCTAACACTCATCCAGCGGTTTCCATCCTCTAGAGATGGTATTTGTGTGGGAAGATGAAGTAGAAGGCTGTGGGGGACTAAAGCTAAAGCAGTTGCTGCTTTTGAATGCATTTATCTCTCCTTAATACTCTAATGTCCGTGGACAGTAACAGCCATAGCCCTGAACTTGTGCCATATATATATATATAAAATTTTATTTTATTCCTAAGCAGTTCTAATAAAATTTCTGTTTACTCGCCAAAGTGACTTTTGGCTCACCAACTCTGTGGATTACTTCCAAAAGGTTTAAAAATAAGTAACTAAAATAAGCCTACTGTCATTAAGCCTGGATTCACAGTGGAAAAGTAAATTTCTCTTGTGGTAAATATTTCTGGTATTAGTTTGGCTTTCAGTGGCCAGTTTGGCCAATTGCTGCCTTATTTCCCAAGGTTAAAATATGTCCTTGGTGCAAGTTAATGCACTGGAATTGCTGAAACAGGAAGATTGTGCCCATCAAGCCACATTTTTGCTGCAGATGTGATGAGATATTAAATGCTAAGCTTGGATTTGCCCTTTTTGCAAACTGTTGTTTGGTAACGGCAATGAAGAGGCCCTTGGGCCTCCTCTTTCTTTTCACATTCATCCTTGACCAAATTCCAATGAACAGCACTTCTGTACCTTGTCAGAAGGCTTGGTCTTCCCAGGTGTGTCAGATTTTTTGTTTTCTGTAAGCTTGTGTTAAATAGAGCCCTAACTCACTTGGAATGAAAGCTTCTCTTTTTGGTTTCTGCCAGCCCAGGTGACTTTGCTGTCACACAGCACCCACTGACATCTGCTAATTCCTTTGTGAATAAAATTGTCATTGAAAAGCTAATGCTCAGAAGATGCTTTAGGCAGAATTTAAACTCAGCAGGGGCTTATCACAAGTTTAGGCCTGTGTTTTTATTTCTGTGAGTGTAAGAAGTGCTGCTAAGATCCTGTTAGTATGAAGGATGAATTTTGTCCAGTCCTCCTTGTAAGGATCACAGAATCACAGAATGGTTTGGGTTGGAAGGGACCTTAAAGCTCATCGGTTGCTGTTCCCTGCCATGGTCAGGGACACATTCCACTATCCCAGGTTGCTCCAAGCTCCATTCAGCCTGGCCTTGGACACTTCCAGGGATGGGGCAGCTACAGCCAGTCTGTTCCAGGGCCTCACCACGCTCATAGAGAAGAATTTCTTTCCAATACCTGATTTAAACTTACCATCCTTCAACTTGAAAAAGAATCACTTGTCTTTCACTGAGCTTTCTCATTCTGGGCACAGTCCCAAGTCCATCCTTCAGGAGTTGGGTAAGTGTCAATAGGGTGTCTGGGGTGGCCTCTGGCTGGATCTGTTCTGCAGGACTGTTGGGTTTGCCTTGCCTTGCCTTGCCTCCTTTCCCTTTAGGAGCTGCTGTAAAGAGGGGGAGCCAAAGTGCTGCCTGCTGTTTGCTCTGCAATCTCTTGTTGGAAGATGCTGCTTCCATTTAAGAAAAGGATGGTGCAGCTTCCATGCAGGACCAGCCATTTGCTAGGGGAGATGCCTCTTCTGCATTGCTGGGACTTGTTTGTGTGGTTACAGCCCAAGCTCTGTGCTTGTGACAAGAGCAGCGATTGTCCTGCGCAAGCTTCTCCAGCTGCTTGGTGCCTTTCAGCTCAGCCCCGCGCTCAGGAGGCAGACAAGTGGCTCAGGCAATCCTGGTCTCACCCAAGCCTGCTCTGCTCCACTTGTATCAGTCTTGAGATCTGGCTTAGGCTTCCCAGCACATCATGGTGCAGGGAGGCTTTTGGAAACAGCTAAAATAAAGCTGATGCAGCAGTTCTGATCAGCACTATTGCTGGTGGGGGATGCCCTGTAGTGATTTCAGCATTTGTGCTGATGAAGCATCAGGGAGTTCTGTTCCCACAGAACACAGCCATGGCCTTCTATGTTGGCTGGTAACTGAGTCCATGACAGCTGCCTGCAAATTGCTGTGTGTGGGTATTGCAGCATCCATCTGGCATATTTAGCTGGATGCAGATTAATTCAAACTACATTCAAAATGCTCCCTCAGCATTTCATTTGGGAGGGAAAGTGCTGGATTGAAACAGATATCATTTCCCAGGTGTCCATTCTGTGTGTGTGAGGGGGAGGATTCTGTTAAGGACAGTGGTGTTGAGTTTGGCCTAGACTAGACATCTGTGTAATTAAGTATCCCATTTTCTCACATATTTCTGTGCCTTCTGTTTCCATCAGTCAACCCTCAAGTCCCTGCTGGTTCCCCTGCAGTTTTCTACCTCTCTATACACATGGATATATCAGTGCCCTGCTCTTTTTTTAGGCTGATGAATAGTCTTTGATGCTTCTCTCACTCTTTGCACTCCAACCTCTTTTTTCATATTCCCCACTTCCCCAGAAAGAGTTTCTTCCCATAAAATTACTTCCCAAAGCTTTGCCCCAGCTAATTTCTCCTTCTGAATGTGTTGTTAACATGAGCTTGCTTTTCAAAACCTGTCTCTTTTGTGGGGCTATCACTTGGTGTGTGTATTTTAGGGCTGCAAGGAGCTAATTGGCACAGGAAGAAAGGAGTTGTGCATAGCAGGGGTCAGGGAATGTTGTCATGCCCAGGGAAACTCTCACAAACTCCAGTGCCTGTTGGAAAAAACACTGAGCCCATCACCAGCCATGGGCTCTGTCAGAGGTTCACATGGTGAGTTTTTATGGTCTGTGTGGAAAAATATTCTGTGAACAATCACAAGTCCTTTTCTGCCCCTGCGTTTTAACCACTTAATTCCTGTGTAAATACTTAGATACAGTCAAGGCCTCAGAATTGTAAGTGGTGCTGTTCAGTTGTTTCATAAATATTCCTCAGTGTATAACACAGCTTGTTGCCAACTATGTCCTTCTTGTGTGTTCTGCTTGCCATCTTTGTGGTTTCTTTATCCTTCCGTGTTTATCCCTTTTTCTCACTTGTTTCTTTCCCTTTGTGCAGTCTGTGTTTAGCTGTGACCAGCCTCATGGATGGTGACTGTCAGCACTCTTGGGTGCTGCTGGCTGGCCGTGCCAGCTGCTTTGCATTACTCTTCCACTCAGCCTTGACTTATCTCAGGATTCAACTTGAGGTGGGATTTGCAGTGTAGACTTCTGTATTAAGGAGATAAGGACAATGCTGACAATGTGAATTCTGTGTAAGGCTCTAATATGGCAGAGGGAATCCCCTGGGATGGAGATTCAAAGGATTTATCTTACATTTATTTAATCTGGGGTTTATACATCATACAGTGAATTTTCCTGTGGGTTGTACTGGCTATTATGCTTTAATTGTAAATTAAATATCCCCATGGAGTCTGAGTGGTGGTGATGTGTGCCTTGCACCTGAAAATATTCCCAGACGCTTCATGGTCTGCATGTCTTCTCTGAAAAAAGATCTGTAGAGTGACCTATTGGTGACTTATAGAGGACTAGTTAAAGGACTTACAGAATCCTGATCATGGTTTTCTTACTTAGTTGCTTATACTTGGGTTTTTTCCAGCAATTTTTTTTCTTATCAATACCACTCCAATGAGTGGATTTCCTACAGTCACCGAGCAGCAGTCAGGTTGCCTTCTGGATCTTACCCTGCAACTCTCACTCCCCCCCAGCCTTTCCTACCATAAACAATAAGAGTTTAAACCTTTTGAATGAGAGGCCTTGATTTGTGTTTTGTGTAATGATGGACATGGTAAATACATGGGACAAGTTCTGTGCACAGAGAATTCCTGATGTGAAGTTGTTGCTGTTCCTTTCCCTTCCTCCCAGGCTCACATTCCAAAATTAATATTTTTTCTGTATTGTAGGCAACCAACTAGCTTCAATTTATAGGCCTCTATTATCTTCTGGTACAGAAATTATCAATATATCAGTTATTTTAGAACTGACTAAAAATTTCTCAGCTGTACTTTGCTGAAATTGCCTTGGTTAAAAGTTCCTGTACCTTTCCCCTCCCAGGAGGTATTAATAAATGTTGAACCTCTCAAAGTTATCTTCTGGTACAGAAATTATCATTATGTCAGTTATTTTAGAACTGACAAAAAATTTCTCAGCTGTACTGTGCTTTCTTGGATGGCTGAAATTGCCATCCAAGCAAGCACAGTACAGCTGTGAAAGTTCCTGTACCTTTCCCCTCCCAGGAGGTATTAATAAATGTTGAACCTCTCAAAATACAGGTGATGGGTAGGGAAGTAGTCTTTCCTGCTTCAGCAGAAACAGCAGACAAACAGCTTTTATTTGTTCTTCCTTATCCCAGGAATAAATTGCAGAAAGTCTGGGCTGAAATACTGACAACCTGCTGTGGCTCTAGTCCCAGAAGAGTAGGTGGCCATGGAGGTCTCTCTCCTGTCACGCTTTTCCTGCAGGAGGTTTGCAGGGTTACCTGAGGCTGTGAGCTTTCCTCTCTGCTGGACATCGAGCTAAATGCTGCACTGGCATAATTTTTTCAATATGTCTTTTCAGGCTGATTATCAAGCTTTTTTCCCCCCTCTTTTTCATGCTGTGCAAGACAAGACCTGACAGAAGGCAAAGGATTTAGAGGAATACTGTAAATGTGTGGTTTTGTTGCACAGTAATGAGATACAAGTTTGAATTATAACTCTGAGTGACAATTCATTTTTCCCCTCCACCCTATCAAAGAAACACTCAAAAAATCAGACTCAATAGAGCTCTCAGAGAAAAGTGAGGGACACTGCATGGGTGTAACATGAGAGGGTGAGTGAATGGCTTTTGTGGGTGCCTAGCATCTGGCCAGTGTCAAACCATGACAGTGACCAAGGAAATATCAGTGAAATCCTTTTGTTCCTCTTTAGCACTTGAATTACAGAGAGTTTATGTTCATTGAGCTGCTTTTGTGCTTTGTGGTAATTGAATCTGTTATCTCTGATAGTGTAACTGAGAGAAGCACAAACCATGTCTGTCCCTGCACACTTCAGAAGCTGTCCTTGTCTGGTACATGGGTCTGCACAGGCTGCTTCCAAAAATATTCTGGGTATTTATGCAGTTTAACTGATTTGTTTTACTGTGATTCCAAGGCTAGGGGGGTGGAGGGTGTGTGCTTCAGACAAATGACTCTTTCTCCCCATGTTGTTTTGGTCGAGTCAGAACATCAAGGGCCCAACTCCAGTAGTGCTTTAGGGTGCCAGTGTGTGTGTGCACACAGCTGGAGTTGTAGGTGGGTTCAGGACCTGCCCTCCAGCAGACAGATGCATGTGAGAAGGAGGAGGACATTGGGGACATGTCTAGGGTTGCTAAAAGCATCATGGTGAATAATGCTTTTATTCCTGCCAGTTTTTCTCTCAAATACTGTGAGATCATGTCTTACCTTTGCACAGTGTGTTTGTTTTCATCAACAGCACTTGCTTTAGGGAAGCTGCTGAAAGTGCCTGAGCTACAGCACAGCTGGCAAGGCTGGTTGGCTGACCTGGGATGGTGACTGCTGGCACATCACTGCCATGCTTGACAAGAAGAGAGTTTTTCAAGAGCACCTGACTTGGCTGGGATAAGTGAATGGATTTTTGTGCCACCCAAATTTTATGGATTAATAAAGGCCACCTGCTCCTACTTGAAAGTTTTTAGATTGTCTTTCTGGTGCATCAAGGTGTTAACTGGTAGCATTTGATGTGAGTCCTGTTCCCAGACAGCTGCTCCAAGGAGACAGGATGGTCTGGTGAGTAACTGTGGACTGTCCATAGCTCACATGACCCAAGATAATGTCCATGGATACTCTGGAGTGTAGAGCAGCTGTTGATATGGTGCAGGTTGAACTCTGAATAGTTGCCAAAATGTCACTCTTCATTTTAATTGCATGCATGTAACTACAGCCCGCTGTATTCCTGTTTTGTTTCCTCATTGCTGTTACTCATTTTTATGATGCTTCATGGAGGTTGCCATCCTTAGTAAATGCTGTACATCATGTTCCTTTTATTCTCTTTCCTAAAATGACTCCTTCTTCTCACCTGAGGGAGTGGCAGGAAAAGTCATTGTCCCTCATCCCCTCCTGACATGCCTCCTGTCAGCAACAGTGAGTCTGTCATTCTCTCCTCTGACAGGATCCTGTTGCCCCTTGCCTCCCTCAGTTTCTATCTTTGTACCCACTGCTGCTCCCTGCTCACACTCTGCCTCTTAGAGCCCATCAGCTGTGCCTCCAGGAGGGGAACTCTCACCTCCTGAACTCAGTAAGAACATCTGGAAGTCCTGTGTAGAAGTCTGAGTTCCTGAAAACCCCAAAAAATGATAGGAAATCCAGATCTCATTGAGTGACAGAAGTGATATGGAGAGAAGTGTGTGTGTGATCTGATGATGTGGCAGCAGTCTCAGACACCGGTGGACACTGGCACATCCTTTCACTTACCCCAGCCCGAGGTGTTGGAAACTCTTGGTGTTCCAGCAGTGCTGTTTGCTATGCTGCTGTTCCTGTGTGCAGTGACTGGAACAAAGTGGCTGGTTACTTTGTAGATTAAACCTCATGAAAATGAAAAATGCTTCTACTGTAACTTCTTTGGGTTTAGTGGCACCAGTACTTGTTGGGCTGAATTCACCAATTTGCTTTCTGCACTGGATGCTGAAGATGTCTGTGAGATCTAATGGAATTTTGCCTCCTGCATGGTTCCTGAGGGAACGCTTGTGGCTAGCTGCTGTGTGGTGATGCTTGGGCTGGGATGTGAAAACTAATGGATGTATTTGTTTATTCAGGGAGAAATAAAACCAGCTCTGCTGTCAGTGGGTCACAGATTCTGGCCGAAAGAAGCAGCCGGGAAGGATCTGCCCAGAGGATGCCCCGACAGCCGAGCGCGAGCCGCGTGCAGAAGGCAGGAACCTCTGGGAAGAGCAGCGGGGGAGGCAACAGTGCCTAAAAAAGGCCTTAGAACAGATGGATTTTGATGCTTGACATGTATATAACTTGTGCTCGTTAAAGCTGCTTGTGTTGTATGTATTAAACTAAAACCATGATTTGTAATACAGGGAACAGAGCTGTTGGTTCTTATTTCCAAAACTTCCTTTGGCCACGCAGGCTCTTTGGAAATGTTCCTGCATTTTGCTTGCCTTGTTTCCCCGTGTGCCTGTTCACAGCATTCCAGCACCTATATCTGAAACCAGACTGATCTCTCCCAAACATAATCCCATGTTCAGCCCTCCCAGTGGTGCTGGTGTGATTATGCATTTACAAAGCATTACTGCCCCCTTTGCCTCAGGAGCCAGGTCAAACGAGGAGGTTGTGCCAGATAAGGGAGGGAACAGCTCCATCACTTAGGACAAGACACATACAAGTACCTAAAACAAGTGAGTGGGTTTCTTGGAGCTCAGGTGTTACCATGCTTGGTTCCAGAGGGTCTCCAGGCAGCAGGGTGCCTCCTAATGGCTCTGGGAGCTCAGAGACTATTGATGAATTCCATGTCCCTAATTAGGAAGAAGTGCCTCCATTTTATGGGAGTTAGATGGTGATTCCTAAACTCAAGATCTGCCTCTCACAGGCCTGCTTCAACAGGTGCTAAAAATGAGATTTGCAAGGTCTGGGTTTCTCCTGCTGTGATCAAATAACAAAGTGTAGCTGCTCCCCTTGGTAAAACTGAGGTGGTGGAGTTCAGAGGCCTGAGGAGAGGTAGCCAGGCACAAGTTATGGTCACAATGCTGGGTGTCAGGAGAGCAAACTTTAGCCTCTCCTGTTTGATCAGTCCAATGGGATCAAGCCCTGGAGGGAGGTGGCACCCAAGGAAGAAGATTGATATTCTAGAATATCAATGCTCAAGAGTGGTTCCACCTGAGAACCCAGAGCTACATCCCATGCCTGAGCTCCAAATACAGTGCTGACATCCCTTCTTGGAGCCATTTCCCTGGCCCTTGTCACCCCCATCCCATGTTCAACCCCTCTCATAAGCTCAGACTTGTTCCCTCCAGGCTCTGCAGGACTGGAGATGCTGCTGGGAGGTGCAGTGACTTGGGGCTTGACTGGGGTGCAACACCTTGGGGCAGGGGATGCCTTCTGTGGCACTTCAGCTCAATATCCTGGGGGCTGTAGGTCCCCTGAGGCTGCCAGGGACACTGGAAGGGACAGGGCAGGATGTGGGGTGTTTTTGAGGGGTTAGGGTCAGCGAGGGCTGCAGGGAACCCTCCTACCCCATGAGGCAGCATTAGGTTATGTGGTTAAAAGCTCATCTCCTGGAATGAAGACAAGCAGGGGGAGGTGGAGTAGCCCTGGGAAACTCCACTGTGCCAGGGATTCCCTGTCCCAGCTGCTCCCAGGGCTCTTGTTGGGCTCAGAGGTGACTCCAGGCAGAGAGTGAATGGGGCCACTCTGCAGGTCACATCTGGTCCCTCACTAGGGGCAAAGGTCACAGTGTGGGGTACAAGGAAAGAGCATTTTCAGGTTGTGACTTATGGGAAGTTCAGGGGAGGAACGAAAAGTGGGGAAAAGGAGGGACCAAGGTGGTTTTGGAGAGCCAAATAAATGTGGGAAAATAGAGGGATGAGGGTATGATGGCCTGGGTGTCTAATGCCCATCTGGCAGTCTGGGATCACAGACAGTCTGTGCCTCCTGAGGTTGCACACTGAGCCTCGCTGGTGGCTGAAAGTGGGGCACATGGACATTTGTCACTCTTAGGTGCTTAATCAGGTGCATGGCAGGACACTGAGTGATGCACTTCCTGTGCAAACCTGGTTCCTGACAATTATTCGCCATTTAAATGGGCATCGTTGACTGTAGCATTGCCAAGGAGGCTTATAAAATCCACAGATAATTTTATGAGATTTGTTTTATAAAGCAGTTAAAGCAGATAAGCAAATCAAACTAATTAAAGCTCTGTCAATATTTGCACAGAGATGTGTGATGTCAAGTGGAATTTGTACTACCTGAGTGACTTCAGAATTCTCAAGATTTTAGAAGGGTAACACAGAATGTGCAAACACTCACCACTCACCCAATAAATTGAGGGCTCTCAATCTCACAGAGTGACCTTGGGCAGCGTCCTGACTCAAGGGGGGAGACCCCAACAGCCCTTCTCTCAGGACAACTGACTCCACTGCCTGCCTGCCTGCCCACCAAGGCTCCAGCTGTACCCCAGCTGATTCTTACCTGTCCTTGGATGGCCACAATAGACCTTGCTGGCCGAGGTGTGACCTTCAGCCCCTCCACAGCACCAGGAGGTGCAATGGTTAGTGCTGCACACCTGAATCCAGCCATGGCACGGCTGAGGTCAGTCCCAGGTCTGGAGGGCTGCTGGAGATGGTGCACCTGCCACGAGCACCCCATGCAGTTTATCCTTAACTGGAATGAACAGATGCAAAAGGAGGAGTAGGGAAAACACGGGGAGGGCCTAGAAGCTCTCTCAGTGGACCACCTGCCAGGGCTGAGCAGCACGGGTAGGATCCCTGTCTTCCAACAGACTATTTCACTGCACCATCATTGTCAAAATATGGGGAAAAGTTAATGCTCGGGAAAAGCTAGGCTGGCCCGTACGGGGATCGAACCCGCGACCTTGGCGTTATTAGCACCACGCTCTAACCAACTGAGCTAACCGGCCACACTACAAAACGCTTCCCGCCGCCACCTGGTGGCCCGGTGACAGCTCCGCCGCCCGAGAAAACTGAACAAAAAGCCATTCTAGCAGAGGATGGTTTCGATCCATCGACCTCTGGGTTATGGGCCCAGCACGCTTCCGCTGCGCCACTCTGCTAGCTGTCCTGCATCTTCTCCACAAGTACATCTTGTCATCTGTAATCCCGCCCCGGCCCGCGCTCCCGGCGGCGCCAACAGCCTGTGCGGGGTGACGGGGACACCGCAAAACGGGAGACAGCGCATGAACGCACTGTGGCGCCCCACACGCTGTTACAGCTCTGACCTCCTCCCGGGAACCACAGGCTAACTCCTCACTGTGCTGCTGAAAGCATAACAAAGCCCATCTGGTATCTTCTGCTTTTTGGCTTGCCTGCTAGGAGCCACCATTCACCTGTGGTATACAACCACCCGTCCATCAGATTTTAGGAAAACAGACAAGAGTCTTATGGGGAACATATAAGAAGCCAGGAGTGTGGATTTTTGCAGAAGTTTCTCACAAATTCAGGAGCATGGTTCCCCAAACAGCTGTCAGTGGGAGATACAAAGATTTTGGAAAAAAACCTTGATGAGAGCATAAAGCCTGGGACTGGGGCTACTCAGCACATCACACACCTTGTGTCTGCCTTGGATAGCACCACTGTGTTCACGGCAACCCTGTGGCAGCAGAAAAAGAGGATGTGCTGTCAGCACTGCAATGTGATTCATTTTGAGGAGAAGCTGAGGATGTCACCCATGTGCTTACCCTTGCTCTAGTTCTGCATTTCTATACATACAACTGGTTGTTCTAGTTTTTGCTTTTTTTGTAAAAATGAAACAACGAACACATGCAGTTCCTCTTCATATTGTGATTATTTTGGGGGCTTTTTGCAATAGCTGTGAACCATTGCTCCATCATCCTCTCTTGAGTCTCCAGGGCTCCTGGCCTCTGCTTTCTCTTCAGAGGATTCCTGCAAGGTGTGGTGCATGTATGTGCTTGCCTGGGTGTGGGTGGAAGTGTTTTGATTGGCCATACAGATGTATTCCCTAAAGCATCTGGCTGGCAGTTTACAGGACAAAAGTGCATAAGCTAATTAAGAATTATTATTTTTCAAATCTTCATGCTCAGTCTGAGCATGCAGAAATGCAGTTATGATAGCCAAAGCTAAATGGAATTGCATCTGGTCAGGGATGTCAAAGACAACAAGGAGGGTTTCTGTAAGTACCCACATGACAAAAGCCACACACAACCCACTGGTGAATGAGCAGGAGAACTTGGTGAGGCAGGACATGGAAAAGGTTGATACACTGAATGACTCCTTTGCCTTGGTCTTCACTAGCAAACCAAGCTTCAGGAATCCCAGGCCCGAGAGGTCAGAGGGACTCTGGGGTAAGGATGGTGCATCCTTGGTGAAAGAAGATTAGGTCAGGGAATAACAGAAATACGTAACTTATATAATCAAAGAATTACAGAAACATGGAATGGTTTGGGTTGGAAGGGACCTTAAAGATTATCTAGTTCCAAACCCCCTGTCCATGAACGTTCCCATGAGTGCTGACAGCACAGGCTGATGTCATTGTCAGGCCATTTTCAATACTATGATCATGGTGACAGGGAGAGATGCCTGAGGACTAAAACAAAGCAAAAGACTCCTGAAAAGTCCTGAAAAGGGTAAGAGGACCCAGAGAGCTACAGGCTGGTCAGCCTCACCTTGGTCCCTAGGAAAGTGAGGGAGTATCTAAATTGCAAGCAGCCCCAATAAGAACAGCAGCCCTACATAAAGGTTGGTGATATAGAGTGTCTGAGACATGCAGTCATGATTGTTAACCAGGTCATTCCAAATGAAATTCCCACATGTACCACAGTTTGTATTCAAGAAAGAGCCCTACATATGAAATTACTGTGTATTATGAACACAGACATTCATTGTATGTACCAGCATCCCCTCTGAAGGGGAATGACAAAGCATTTGTCATTTGTCAAAGCTGGCGCTGCAGAGATGGAAAAGGTGGAGGATGGAGAGCAATTTCACCCCAATGTTACATCTAGACATTTTATAAAAAACAGGCCTCCTCCCACTGTACCCCCAAACTGCATAACTGGCCTCATGAAGTGCAGTTCCTGCCTGGGTCCCCACCTAGGCACTGTCAGTCTTCATCATTACCACGGCACAGCAGCAGCTTCTCTTGCCAGGTGCAACAGCTGCAGCAGTAACCCTGAAAATCCCTCTCATCTGGCTCCTGTACCAACAGTGAGGAGCCCAGCCCAGAGCCACCTCAGCAGGAAAAAT